ATTTGGAGAGAAACTGCAGTATTCAAGTCTGGAGAAAGCAATACCTAGAACTTGGATAATGCTGTGGAAGGAGTGACACTGGCTCTGACTTGAGGTATATTTTGAAAGTTGAATCAGTAAGGTTTGCTGATTGAATATAGCTGAGAGGAACAGAGGAGTCAAAGATGAGTCTAACAGTTTTTTTGTCCATGTGACCATAAGAATGAGTTATGGTCAGTTGAGATTTTGAAGATGCAGGAGAAATGAGTTTGGCGATCAAGAACTCCGTTTTGAAATCTGAAACGCCTTCTGCACATCCGATGACATCAGGCACACTCAAAGTAGTATGACTATAAACCTTTTACAAACCGAAGTGGAGATCTGCCATAGACTAATGGACACAGGGCTTGGAAGTTGAGGGCAGAAGAGCTACACCCAGATGTGAATCCTGAGTCACTCATAAAATCATCAAGGAATAGGGGGCTGGAGAGATGGCTCAGCAGTTAAGAGTACTGACTGTTCTTTCAAAGAGTCCGGGTTTGATTCCCAGCACCCATATGGCAGCTACAAACTGCCCTTAACTCCAGTTCCAGGGGAAGCCGAAGCCCTCTTCTGACCTCCATGGCATTGCATGACATGGGTGCACTCACATCCATGCAGGCAATATACTCATACACATAAAATAAAAAAACAATAAATAAAATATTTTTTAAATTATCAAGGAGTAAATGTTGCTGCAGAAGAGGACTAAAACCGAGCCCTGGGCACTCCAGATTCAAGGGATCAGGAAGTGTGGGGGAGCCAGGACAAAGGTCTGTGAGTGCTGAAGAGGGAGAACTGTGAAAGTGTGATGACCTAGAACCCGAGGTAAGAATGCAATCTGAGAAGGAAGCAACTGGGTATGTCAAGGCTGCCGATGGGTCCAGTAAGAAGACAGCTGAATCACTACCCCAGTCATCAGTGGGCATCAGGGGTTCTCCACAGAGCAGCTTTGGTAGAGTGGTGGGCATGAGATTCACTTGGAGTGAGCTCAGAAGAAAACAAGAATAAAGGAATTGTAGAAAACAGACGAATCTTGCATTGAGTTTTGCTATTAATGGTAATAATTGTTTAAAAGAGTGGACATATCTAGATAGCACATGGAGGAAATGCTCCTGTGAAGAGACAAACCTTGGTAATCCAGGCAAAGAATGAGTGCAAGAGGGAAATGGTGACTGTGAGAAGGGTTAGGATTCAGGGCCTAGGAGCCTGTGGCGTTACTAAGCCACATTGCATTTATGCTTGAATAAAGGAGCAGTCTGACTCTCAGCGCTGCTTTTAACTAAGAATAGACCTGAATGCTGAGGCACCAGTTCCTCCAGATGTCTCTCAGAACTGTGCTCTTCGGACAGCCTTCACACATACTGTTATTGAAACAGTATCTCTAGCAGGAATTGGGGAACTAGAAGCTAGCATCAACCCTTATCAGAGAATCTTGCCTTTTGATCTCTAGGCCTAAAAAATCACACACATCATTATAGACAAACTTCTCAATTCTTCTCACTGTTCACAATGAGAATGCACTGCTTTCAGCACTTTGATATGTTCATCACACACACCCACATTTATTCACTATCTTAGATAGAGGACAAGGATGGGGTCCAAGGGACTAAGGCCACATATCCAGGTCACAAGAAGAGCACATGGTTCAGTGAGCTTGTCTACATTATAAACAGTAACCTTTTTGGTGGCAAGGTTAGGTGACAGTCATTAGTCCAGATCATGTCCACATTGTAGAAGTCATTCCTATAGTAGCCAGCCAGCCTTAGGTGGGAGCTGGGCAGGTCCTCCTGGAAGTAGAAGGAAACCCAGTGTGTGGGTACAGGTTCAGGGTTGGTAGATCTGCCAGTGACGCAATGAGCATGCTCATCCCATGGTTTTCCTTCTTCCTATTCATTCAGAAGCCAAATCACCAGCTGGTGACTTGGAAGAGGAAGATAAGTTCGAGAAGGTGTGGCACAGCCTTCAGAAATGAGCTGTTAAAAGACAGCAGGGGACTGACTTGAATTTTCTCCAACAGCACTGCCCCATAGAACTACAATGCAAGCTTTCTAGTAGCCATATTGAAGGTTTTATACAGGTAAGATTAATTATAATAACATATGTATGTATGGTGTTTATGGGGGGGTGTTGGTAGGGTATATGTGCACATGTGGGGGTGTATATACATGGAGAGGTCAGAGGAGAACATGGGATGTCTTCCTCTATCGATCTCTACCTTATTTTTTGAGACAAGGTCTCTCACTGAACATGAAGCTCACTGCTTGAGCTAAACTGGCCTTCCAGTGAGCCCCAGATCTGCCTGTCATCATCCCCAGTACTGAGTTACAGGCATTCATGGCCACGACTGGCTTTTCATGAGTACTTGGGGTCTTCTTGCTCTCAGAGCAAGTGCTTTTATCCACTGAGCCTTCTCCCCAGACCCTATAGTAACCCACTTTACTCAACCCAACATATTCAAATATTATCACTTCAACATGTAATCACCACTAAAATATAGTGAAGTATTTTAAGTTTCCTTTTTTGCTTGCTAAGTATTCTAAAGCAGGTATGCACCTTACTTTTTGAGCACATCTAAATTAAGACAAGCCATATTTTGAGTGCTTATGGGCCACATGTGCCTGATGGCTACAATATTGGGCACCATGGGTCTAGAACATTAAGTAGGGCTAATGGAGGACACTGAGGGCTCTGGGAAAAGGACAAAGTACCTGTACAGAGTATATAGCAAGGGAACTGATTGCATGTACAAGCAAACGATGATTCAATAATGACCATAGAGACTTACAGAGCTCAGAATGGGGTGGGGAGGTGTAAAAAGACAGGGACCAAAGAACTCCCAGAACTTAAGATATTATCTATGTACACAGATATCTAGAAGAATCCCTGTCCTCAGCAAGCTGGTCCTGATGGCAGACATGTCAGTCAGCCATGTTATGAAGACAGTATGTGTTAAATGCCAGGGCTGCAGCATGGACTATACTCTAAGCAAGTTAAGAGGAGAAGGAAGAATTTATTTCCAGCAATGATGATCTAGAAGGTTCATGCAAGGTCAGTCAGGTCTTGAAGGATGAGTGGGATTTTAATCATCTCTGGGAACTGTTATACAACAAGGAGGGAAATATAGCTCAGATGAAAAATTAAAAAAAAAAACCAAAACCACAAAAGTCCTTCAATATATTTTAGGATGGGTCAAAAAAAAAAAAGACATTCATTAAGAGAACTAGTCATTACAATGGGGCAAGCTGCCTGTAAATGATGATCTTTCTTTAGAGAAGAGTTCTGAGGGAGCTGGAGAGATGGCTCAGTGATTAAGAGCACTGGCTGCTCTTGCAGAGGACTTGGGTTCAATTCCCAGCACCACACGGTAGCTAACAACCATCCATAACTCCAGCTCCAGGTGATCCAACATCCTCTTTGACCTCCTTGGGCATTACATGACACAAGTGCACTTGTATACATGCAGACAGTACACTCACACACATAAAATAAAAATAATAAACAGCCTAGGGCTGTGGCTTAGTTGGTAGAGTGCCTCCCTAGCACGTGAAGCCTTGGGTCCATCCCCATCACCACATAAAGCAGGAGTCATGATGTACTCCTGCAGTCCCAGTACTTGAGGTGGGGAAGCAGGAGAATTAGAGGTTCAAGGTCATCCTTGGTTTCATAAAGAGTTTCAGGCTAGCCTGGCTACATAAGACTCTGTCTAAAAAAAAAAAAGTTTAAGGATCATTTCCCTACAAGAGAAAAGCGAAAGTTCTCATCATTAAAAAAAAAAAAGTCATCCCTTCAGAATAGGATGCTTTCTAGAAGTAGGGAAAAGTATGTGCCAAAGATCGTTCTCATGACATAAATGCCTTCCATTCCCAAACTTCCACTCAAGACAAACATATACCCACAGACAGAGGTGAAAAGAGAGAGACAGAGACAGAGACAGAGACAGAGAGAGACAAAGAGTTTTCACTTTAAAATTCTCATGAGAAATAGTCTGACACACAGAGAGAGAAGATGATGGACC